AAATTTCTATAAATAGCTCAAAACTAATCAAAATATTTTTAAAATACTATGGTTTGTAGAAAATGATAATCTAAAGATTCTTTAAACATTTCATGTATCTACAATCATTTGTTCTAGAGTTACAACGAAAATCAAAATTGATTTTGTGGAAAACCGATTTTACGTAAAAATTCCCGTTTTTCCTTAATTTTTTATTTGTTTTTCCCGGCGCTTTTGAAAATTACTGGGAATTTTAATCTTCGAACTCCTAAATGCACCAACTAGATTCACTTTCGAATCGAACAAGATACTGACGTTGAAAATCGAAGCATTCTTTCGACTACTCATCGTGTAGACAGACACCAAAAAAAAATGTTTATAATTTAAATAAAAAAATACACACGTCATTGTAAAATCAATACATTCTTTGCATCGCACAGAAACCAAAATATGGAAATCGCTTATTGTATCGAACATTATTCCAAAATATAAATTAAAAAAAAGTGAATACACTTTGAAATTAAAAACACACTTCTCTAAAAAAACAAAAAAATAATGAAAAATTTAAAAGTGTGTGGTATAATATGTCAAGTTTAAGAGCGCCACACACTTTTAAATTTTTCATTATTTTTTTGTTTTTTTAGAGAAGTGTGTTTTTAAAAAATAATTTTTTAATTTTTATTTTCTACTTTTTAGTTAAAAAAAATTTTTAATTTTTTTTTTTTTTTTTTTTTTTTAAATTTTTTTACGGATTATTGTATTGTCATCCAAGACCAAGGTCTATACAAATTTTCAGAATTTTTCATCTTCAAAAAGTGCCTCAAATCGAGCGCGCAAGATTTGATCACAGACAGACGTGTAACCAAACTTAAGAAAAGTGTTAAAAATGAGTATTAACTGTTTAAAAGTGTTACTCTGTAGTTTGTATACAATATAATATTATAGACAATATGTGTGACTTCCAATAACCAGTTATGAGTTGCGTCAACTCGTAAACTTCATGAAAAATAATAGTTTTAGTCCATATAGAATTTTAATAGACTTCTTTACACTTCGTTAAACTAAATATAAATATAAATCACTATTACAAGAAAACATTGAACAATTTTGTTCACATAATTATAAATTATATTTTTTTTTTATATTTTATTGATCATTTCTGTGCAATTATTTTATATTTAGTTTTTAAATGACGATGCAATTCAAAATGCTTTATTTTTATACATTAAATAGTATTATTAAGGTTAGATCTCGGGTTTGATTAAATAATATTATTATCTGTGTTTCACGAAGTCTAAAAAAAAATAATTTTAAAAATAATATATTACTAACTTTTTATGATAAGGGTGATTCCATCAAGTGGCTATAAGGTATATTAGTATTTAGTATATTATAAAGTCCAAATGGTCACTTTTCAATTGTATCTGAATTATTTTGTATTTACTTTTTCTAAAGGTACAACTTGTTGATTTGTTTTTTTTTAAGATTCCATAAATTACGTACCAAAAAGTGTAAAACTATAACGCTATCTGTAGAATTTTCGTTATCAACTTTTCGTGTTAGTTTTAGGTAAAATCACGTTACGATGTTTACAGTAAAAATAATTCACTTCTGATGTCTGCCACTAACTTGCAATTTTCACCGTGTGAGTACTATGCTGTTTACTGAACCTCTGCTGACATGTAGGGGTAATAACCAAACATCGGGCTAGGAAATGTTTAGTGGGCGGTAGTGATCGTTTCATTAGTAAATGAGTCACCTACGTGAATTGTTTGGAATGCTTCCAAAGTGAATTGTTGGCTTAGCAGTTAGCAGCGCTTATTTAGTTCACAAAAAATGAACAGGTTGATTTTGTATTAAATTCAAGATTGTACATAAAATGTATACATTACAAAAAAAAAAAAAAAAAACAGAAAAAACCAACGGTGGTCTAAAATGTAAAACTTAAAATTCAATGTTAAGCCCAAAAATAAATTTAAAAAACAATATTGTAACCATATAGCTACTAGCTAGGTACATACGTCGTAGGTAAAATACCTCCGTGTAGAGCCTATATTAAAATCTTCATTTTTTTTACTAATATTTGACTAATATTATTATATATATGATCATTATTATTCTAGTGTTATTATATTTTAAATTACTATAAAATAGATTTAGTTGATTAAAAATATAGCTGCAGGTAGTCATGTAGCTGCATCTACCATTAAAAATTTAAATCATAACGTAAACCGAATAGTTACTACGAAAACAAAAATAAAATAAAAACAATATGCCGGAATCTAAAACTAAGGTTAATCAAATTGATTTCAATTTTGAACAAGCAACGGAATTTAATTACTGAAACTGCATAATAATAATGCATGCACGTCAAATGTGAAATATCTAACCGGATTATGGCAATAAAAATATAAACGAATTTACAACGCGCATAAAAATATTTGTTTATTTTTTTACTACGACCCCCTGAGAGTTGATATAAAATAATTCTTCATTAACCTTTCAAAAATGGCTTTACGGCCAAACACGATGCGTGCTAGATGGCTTTCAAATAATTATTTTTCACCACACACCCGATCCGTCCACGATGTCCATTCAACCCACAATCAACGAAACGCGATAATATCGACCTACATCCGGCAATCGATATTCAAGATCTGAATTTCCGCGATATTTTTGTGATATTCTGGACACTATAATGACACCCGCCATGAAATTGTTAAATTCAAAACGTTATACTTACACCGATATATTTTATGATCAACCTTGCCGAGCATAAGATTGACAACGATCAGCGTCATATAACTACCTACTATAATGCATCACATTCCTAGTAATAACCTTACAATACTAGACGTATTACAGTAATGCATAATGATAAGTAAACAATTTTTGGACGATATGAGTACTAACAAACGAGTCCTAACTTTTTCCTATACGAGTAATGTTCTACATTTTTATTTAGTACACGAAGACGAGAAGAGTAAGCGGTCGCGCGGTGTTTGTGGTAATGACGATAACGTGGGACAAAGTCCAAAACTTGGCGTACGTACCGAACAGATATTATGTTATTTTCATAGACCTCATACCAGGTCTATGGTTGTTTTATCATTAAGACTTGTTTTCGGCGTTTACTCGCACGGCCAGCTGATGAATATATAAAATATAATAGTTAATATTCTATTAACGGGTGTTTAGTGTTAAACACAAGGTCTTTAATTAATCTGGGCAAGTACATTTATTACACTACCAACCACAAGTTAAATCACAAATATTCTTTTCTGTAATTCGATACTGATACTCCATTATCATGCTACTATGACACAGACTTCTATACTACTATGTATAAATCTGTGTACTATAATATTATTGTACTTGAATACTATTTATTATTAATTGCAACACGGTATCACACATGGTCTTAGAATATATGGTGGTACATTCAAATTTCAAAATATAATTGAACTGACAACATTGTTAACGTATTTTCGTACATAATAGCGTATAATACATATTGTTATTATAATATGTATACTATATTATTATATTGTAGTTTCTGCATTACACTCATAAACTCATGACAATTTGATAGTTGATACAGTGTTGATCAGACATTGTCATTGATCAGATCAGTCTACTCGTAGTTTTCTGTATACACTACAATACACTGCATCGAGACAATATGAGTATTCTATATTAAACTAGAAAATAGTATTATAATAGTAAACTGTTCTATGGTAACAATATGAGATACTTAGGTGACTTAAGTTGTGCACCTATCCAGTGTGATTTTGGCCATTGTTAATTGTTATAACTTATCATTTAGTACTTGGCCTGCATTAGCATAATATTGTTATTAAGTAGTACCTAGGTGATTTTAATGGTTACTTGGTGTGTTAGGTATGTGTAATAACAAATACTTGGCAACATAATAATATAAATATATTATACCTGCATAAATAATAATTTTCCAATTGTCGTCATTGATCTCAGATCTGTGAAGTCCGTTTTCATTGATTTATGTGTGTCAACTGAAGATTATAATACTAGATTTTGCAGAACTAGTTAATACTCTATACAAAAATATCCTGCACAAGTAAGGTATATTAATTTTTTTTTTTTATTCTTATTGAACTTAATTCCGGCAACTATGGCCATTGAACCGGCGTCGGTGCTCGTCGCAATAGACGCCTTAGTCCATTCGGCCACTCCGTCCCCTCTATATTTATTTTATGTGACAGTAATTTTAATTGTATAGTCCTTTTTAGCATAATAATATTGTTTTTATTAATTATTAATGAACTTTGCAGTAATGTAGGTATAACATATATTTCCATACAATTACAGTATACCTAATAACTATGTTTTATATTAAATGTATTTTATATTTTATGATAATAATTAGTAGTAAATAGTAGGTATTTTAATTTTACCTTGTGATTAAAATTTATAACATAATATTACCTAAAAAATAATCTCGAGTCCGAACTAGGTATGTCTGATAGATAAGCATTCTTGATTTTCTTTCTACCTGGTTTACTAAAATAACAATTAGATAAATTGCCCTTGAGAATACCTAATACTTCGAAGAATAAAACGAAATTTTGATTTTGTTAAAATATTATTCATATGGTTTAACACAATTATCAATTATTCAACAGTTCAACCCTATTTAAAATGTATTTTATTAGTTTTGTTTTATGTTTTTTTAACTAAGGAATACGGATGTAAAATTCAATGTTTAAAAAATGTAATTGTCTCAACGGTAATATCGTAATGATTATTGTAATAATAATACAAATCCAAGAAATTATTAAAAGTAAAGTTAGGACTATAATAAATAATACGTATACAAAGTAGTAAATATTTCAATTTTTGATTTCACAAATTATTTGAGTTTTATTATAATACGTTTCTAAACAAAATGTTGTATTAATTTATTATTATTATACATAAAAATAAATATAACTAAATTATATTTATATTATATTTATCATTTAAATTATGTCAACTTGGCTAAGATGACACAAACAATTATTGCTTTGCCAATAAATAATGTTAAACTACTCGAAGAAATAACAGATATAATATTTGATCGAGTATGTATATATTAATAATGACTATAGTTCTAACTTCTAATTGAACTTGTATATTATCATTACTTTTTATTTCATTTATTGCATTATCATTATATCCATCCAGGCTTTAAGAAGACAAAATTATACACATGTGTTATCACTGATAAATGACTCCAAGTTTAATAAACTTGCTACAGATACTAAAACTGCATTTCAAAAAGTCCTACTAAAAAAATGTTCTGATGTGTTTTATACTTTAATATATCAACAAGAATTAAACAAATTAAAAGAGAAGATGAAAAATGATAAGATGGTAAATAGTTATGTTGCCATTATATTTTGTTAAGACTTATGATTAATATTTATTATTATTATTATTATTATTATCAGCTATGGTTCTTAACATAATATTATAATACCTTTATACCTTTTTTTTAATCCCTGATTCCCGGACCTATGAAATTATATGTAATTCTGAATTCAAAATAATTTTCGAAGGTTGGGTTTAATAATACTTATACATACCATTATTTGTTTACCAGGTACCAAAAAGGTGTATATCCACTTTAAATAATTTTCAATTCAATTTTAATAAAAAATCTATATGCAATTGCAAGTGTGTTTTGAATTAATATTATTTAATTAACTATTACCTTATTTATTTTTTATATAAAATATTATTTTTGATAGATTCATTGACGAACTCTTAAGAAAAAGTGCTTTTTCAAAAAAAGTTATTTTGTCATGCATTACAGATTTAAGTAAAGAAAATGATGAAAATAATGAACTACAAATGCATTGTTTATGTACAATACTACAATTAGTACGACCAATATCATCAAAAGTAACAATAGAAAATTGCTATGAAGAAATTGTTTAATATAAAATATAAATAGTTTTTTCTTCTAGACAAATGATTTGAACAAACCAGTTAATAAGCTTGTATCCTGTATAAATAACCATGGCATGTCATCGATACTAAAATGTTTAATACAGCAAGTAAAAAGAATACATCCCAAGGGTTGGAAGAATGAGGGTAATTGTTTTTAGCTTAAAATTAATTTAAAAAAACTACTGCTGTATAAGTGTTGAGTGTACCTCATCATCGAGTGACTGTAATGGATATGTTAGCATTTTTTTTCATATAATAATTATATAATAAATCATTATGTCATTTTCTTTACTACTTCTAAAGAGTTCGCTAATGAATTTATCAAAAATAATATTTTGTTTCAGTTGTTGTTAAGAGAATGTCAGTACACTATTTTTTTTCTGTCTCTGACCCACGCTCAAAGTAGAAAACGTGATTGGAACTAATTGCAAATAGGGGGGGGGGCTTTAGGGCCTAAGCTCACCCCCCCAAAAAAAAAATGTCCCTAGCCCCCCAAACATTTCCTACATTTTGTTTTAAGCTTATTCAATATTAACAAAGTAAGGCTTTAACCCCCTCAAAATCCCAAACGCTATGATGAGTTCAACAGAACCGATCGTGTGTTGTTATCTTTAGTTTTAGAATGACCTATTATAAAACAAAGTTAAGAGGACGTCTCACCCGCATGTGTTGTCTCCGTCTTACACACATACGACATACCAAATGTTCGTTGGCTAGTTTCAATAGGAAATTGTCAGTTTTTATATTAGAGTGAATTGACCTATTATCAAACTTTTAGGTAACAACATTATCTGTGTTCTCTCGTTGGTTTTTTACGATATTTTAATTTTTAAGTGAGTTATGAACATTTTAGAATATGAATTCTTTACATACCCATAACTCACTTAAACATTAAAATATCGTAAAAAACCAACGAGAGAACACAGATAATGTTGTTACCTAAAAATTTGATAATAGGTTGATTCACTCTAATATCAAAACTGACAATACCCTATTGAAACTAGCAAACGAAAATTTGCTATGTCGTACGTGTGTAAGACGGAGACAACACATCCGGGTGAGACGTCCTCTTAAGAACATATCGAATATGTGCATTTTTAAATTGTTACGTTTTATACAATCATAATAGTCATAACCAGTGTTCGGGATTTGTAGAGCCAATAACCATCAAAAAAGCACTTAAATACTACACATAAGCACTTAAAAATATTAAAATAAGCAAAAAGAGCACGACGAAAACTATCGACAGAGCGAGGAAGCTAGTGGTTTTACAATGGGGGTTTTTTTTTTGTTATATAATATATCCTGTATACAAAATTTCTACCAAAAGGAGTTCTTCGATTTCTTCATATAGTACCTTATCTTTTAGCAAATTGGATCAAGATGGTACTTTAGAGAGATAATTTTTCAATTTAATCAATAGTTATAATGCCAAGGGAAAAACCACCGAAAAATTACGGAAAACTGCTGGTAATATGGGATTTTAATTACTAACGTATTTTTATCACCATAGAAACAAAATAAAAATTATAATATTATAATATTAATTTAACATATTATAAAATGTTTAACTTTTATATCTAAGGATTAAAAATTTAAAACAAGGTACCACGTAAATAGGTTATATAATATTATTCACAATAATATATCGTCAAATACACTTAATAATATCAAAGGCAGACTGACCTTCTTTGCTAAGAATCGTTTTTCTTATGCAATGATATTATATCATTAAATTCAAATTTAACACCATCCATTACAGTGAGCCACTATAATATGATGAATGCGATGATGTACTTTTCAATTACGTCAAGAAGAATAAAATTGACGTATGTTCCAACTTCCAATACTACCTATTGTAAAATATTTTCCGATGTCATGTATATATAATTTCTATACTTACAGTAAGTTATAAAGTTATTAAAAATTAGTAATACTTGGATTTTCTATGATCCAGTATTGTTTATTGTTACAATCTTGTAGCTCTAGAAGAAAATCAAAATGTAAGAAATCGTGCTAAAAACTTTTAGATAATCTTAATCTTAATAAAAAGTTATCAACATGTTCAATTCAATCAGGGTAAATAGTATAAGAAAGTAATTAAAATAATTTTTTATATGCTCGTTAATTGTTCAGAGTCAACAAAGTATTGAATGATTCGGGTACTAAGAAATAGTATCCAAATTTGTCAAACTTAGTTTCAGATATAGCTATAAATCAGTCTAAACATTAAAGTTTAGTAATGCCTGTTGAATTTAAATTTAAATTTGAATGTATTAATTATTTACATATCTTGTAAATAATGTTTTTTGTTGAATTATCTTCCCTTTACATTTTTTTATATTAAACAATCTGATCCCGTGCACTTCGTTTCCCGTTAAATGTACCAACTCTATATGACTCAAACTTTGTTCAATTCGTTATTTAATATTCGGTGTATGGTGTTCAAAATGTATCTTAACTTTTCTGTTGCCTGGAATAAAAGTTCTGATTCGCAGCAGTACCTATACTATCAGTTAGGCAATCTACCTGCGATAGATCGCAGACCCCTTGCTATTTGTACGTAACTTTATAATTTAACTCTAAAGTATCAAAGTTGTACCAAGTATGTCACTGATCTCCTCCTAAACGACTGGACTAATTGTGAATACCGAGTTGGTCGACCAATATTTGCTCTTCGTCCACGAAGAAGTTTCATTGTTTTATTTATGTACGTAACTTATATAGGAGTATAATACGCTCAATATTTAAGTAACTGCGATAGGTACATATAATATCAAAACACAGAGTACAAAAAAATTAAATGCATTGAATGAATACATTGATTTCACGGCAACCAATAATTATTATTATTATAGTTTTAAAACCCATGGCAACCATTTATAAACAAAAAATTCCACCGTTTGAGCACGTCCTGTGGTTGAACCTAGGGGGATGATTTGTGAATCTAAACAATCCGGGGGTCACCCAAACGCATACAAAAAAATTCATTCAAATCGGTCCAACCGTTTAGGAGGAGTTCAATCACAACACACGTACAGTAGAATTATAAATATAAAAATAATATATATGAATATAATATAAGGCAATGTACTTTTATTAGGTACTATAGCTGGTATGTTTAGTATTGTTATCACCATAATTTTGACTTCTACATAAACGTTATAATAATATCTATATAGGTAATAATAATATCATAGTTATCATTTTACAAAATGCTAACCTAACCTAACCGTACTAAAATCCGATGAGTAAAAAAAAACCAAATTTAACCATTTTTAAATTAGCCTGGCATCTTTCCAGAGGTCTAATCTACACACAAACATTCATTTTTATATAATATATTAATATAAAATAACAAACATGCCCGATTAACCAACAGGAACCAATATATAATACACTCTGTTGCGCCACTGTTGTATTTTTTACACCCAGATTTCCTACTTTTCCGGTGTATTTTCCTAAAAGTTTCTTTCGTAAAAACCTTCTCCAGGCAATTACGAACATCTTAAAAAAAATTTTAGCCAAATCTAAAGATTTTTGCTTAGCAACACATTCAGGGATTCATTTTTATATTATAAATAGATAAACCTATTTTTATATTTTACTTCAGTATGCTAGGACAAAAGTTACCTCAGGTGAAATACATTGGCAATATTATAACTTATAAGTATGAGTTCAAGAAACCTAAGGATAAGCCCTAGGATAGATTGTTGAATTTTACTTCTAGGAACGGTGTCGGCACAGTTGCGGTCAATACCTTTTTAGTGGCATTTACGGTCACTATTTTTTTTGGGGGGAGGGGTCCCATAATAGGGTACTAGGAATTACAATTTAATTTTGTTGCCGTTCTCATCCGGCCGTCCAGCAAACAAAATATTTTTATTATTATTATTATTATTATTATTATTATTATGTTTGCCATAAAATATTAAAAATATTACCTGTTTTCTGAAACACACTATCAGGCAGCTGCAATAACAGTCAAATAATGTATTATACTATGATTATAAATGGTTTTAAACAAAAACAATTTTGAGAAATTATAACTAGCAAGGTTTAGGTATACAAGAATATACGAGCAAACTACATATTATGATTCAATTATTTAACTTTATGGTATTATGCATTTATGCAGGACACCGTTTGCTTTTTATATCTAATGTAACTATATAGTATATAATATTATATTATAGGGTTAAATGGTTTTAATTTACCAACATTACATGCTTAGTGAAAATAATTTGTAGCAGACTTCAAGCGATATTACAAAATATTAATTAATTTGCTTTGTATAATAGATTCAGTAATAAAGTATATGTTTTTATTAATATCAAATTTTAATGACGTAACTTTCAATTTCACAGTAAAAGATGAGTTATCCTGAAACCAAACATTCATCATCGTGAACTCAATTATTACAAACCGACATATTCTCAACAACTTTATTTGGATCCTGATTGATTCAAAATTAAATTTAACGTACCAATAAAGAACTATAGTAAAATAGCATCGCAGTTTTTTTTTATATGCATATTTTAAAACGCATATATTATATTTAAAAATAATAAAAATTGAATTAACATTTCTACATAATATTATTATTTTGTGTACTGGCGCATAAGAATACATTATATTATTATTTATTTGCGATTCCCAATTTCACTAAATATAAAACCGATTGGGTTGAATTTATAAAATTAAAACAACATATTTTTTTATTAATGTGGAACTAAAATAGTAATAACTTTTATTATTATTCCGATGAAACAAAATATTGCTTTTTCCTATGGATTGTAGCTAAACAATATCATACGTCCCTACCTTGTAAATATAAATCATAAACTCGTTTATTTCTACATGATTCTAAAATATTAATAACTATTAATGCCTCTATGTATTATGATTTTCTTTTATTGCTAAAACAATTTCAAATTTCAATACTGTAAGAAAAAAGAATAATATAAAATAATATAAAATATTTTTTTATACTTTTTGAACTCGTAAAAACATGATTAAATTCTATTAAAATTACATTTTACGGTTATTCTTAACACAATTAGATAAGCAAAACGTGAAGAAAAAATATATTAGTACCACGAAAAATAAAAAAGCGAATATAACAATATAAAGTCTATTATAGTTATATTACAGACTG